CTGGCCTCACTAACACCTCTTCCAGCAGCAACCTAGTTTTCCCAGGAGGTCTCCCATCCAGGTACTGACCAGGCTCAGCCCTGCTTAGCTTCAGTGGGCAACAAGTCTTGGGCTACAGGGTGATATGGCTGCCAGTATGAATGGACTTCTGCGTATGATCGGAGCTCCACGCAGCTCCCGAATCCCGCACTACTCTCCATTGGAAATGAATGACTTCCGGTCTGTCGTTTGTCGGACATAGTGGAAAGCCAGCTTGAAACGCAGCGGAAATGCCAGTATGACGAGGATAGTTTTCATTTTAAAACAAAAACGTACTAGTGTAAATATAGCCTTACATCTAAGGGGGCTGGGACGCATTCACACTACAGCCTCACGTGTGAGCCACATCTCTAAACCGGTGTTTACTACAGTAGTAGGTGTGTTCCACTTGACGCGGACCGACTGTGCAGACTGATCGGTGTATTACAGTACCACAAGAGCTATAGAGAGCAGACTGCTCCGTACGCGTTCGAATCGCTCTTGCGGATGTCAAAATACTGATCGATCTGCGCCGCGCCACTTCTAGTCGAACACTAGTGCTGCAAGCTTATTTGCTCACTGACGTTGATGAGATTACCCCTTATCGCGTAGGGCTGCACGATTCTTGCTGAAATGTGAATCACGATTTTTCTCCATGGGAATTGAGATCACGATTCTCTTACACGATTCTCATTTTTTCAACCAAAATTTATTGCACTCAAGTACAAAAACAAAACAAAACACAGGACTAGAGCTGCACGATTCTGGATAAATTGAGAATCACGTTTTTTTTTTGTCTCAAATAGAGATCACGATTCTCCCACGATTCTGAACTAAACAAAATAATGTGTGGCAAAATATGATTGCTGCAGTCTATTTAAAAGTGTTTAATTAATTTGAATGAAGTATTAATCATTTTAATATACACTACCAGTCAAAAGAGTTTGAATGGTAAGATTTTTTTGTTTTTTAAAGAATTCTCTTCAGCTCACCAAGCCTGCATTTATTTGACACAAAATACAGCAAAAGCAGTAATACTGTGAAATATTTTTACTATTTAAAATAACTGCTTTCTATTTGAATATAAATCGTGTGGTTGTCTGAATCGAGATTGCAATCTTTTAACGATTAATCGTGCAGCTCTAGTATCGCGGCAATTCGGCCGGTGCCTAAAAAGTATCGAACTCGATACCCAGCCCTAGGTGTAGGGCATATTTCCAACACGATAGAGCATATTTTTGTAATATATGTCCTTAGTCATATTTTACATGATTCATTGGTACACGCCAAAAATAAAAATAAATAAATAATAATAATAAAATAAAAAAAGCGACTACTTAAAAAAAAAATTTAAGAAAAAACAACTGTGGTTTTCTTTCACCATAAATTAAATAGTAATCCATAGTTTTT